AGATACTGAGGCATGAGGTGGGCTGTGTCTTCTCAGTGGGGAAACTGAGGCGTGGGGGGGGCTGGGATTGTTCTCAGAGGGAAAACTGAGGCACAAAAGGGGCTGAGGGGGGGTGGCTGGATCTCTTTTGCATGGGAACACTGAGGGATGAGGGAGGCTGAGGGTTATGGGGGGGCTGGGATTGTTCTCAGAGGGGAAACTGAGGCATGAGGAGGTTGGGGGTGTGGGGCCAGGTGTCTTATCCATAGGGAAACTGAGGTGTGAGGGGGGATGAGGGTGGGGGGGCTGGAGGTGTTCTCTGTGGGGAAACTGAGGCACAAGGGGTGTTGGGGGTAGGTTTCTTCTCTGTGGGGGGGCAGTAGATTCAGGCACTGATGAACCTGGGGATGGGAGTTCAGCATCAAGGTCTCCCCTCTCCTTGCTTTTCATTGTGGGGGTGTCTGTTCTTGCCCAACAACCCTGGAGTCCAACCTCCAGTTGCTCTTGTTCTCACCCATGGCTTCACTCCATCCTGGGAAAACAAACTGGAAATCCTGGGTCCTCTGTCCCCCCCTGCTCTTGGTGGGGGTCCCTCTCTGGATCCTGGGATGCTGGGGAGGATGGGAAGTGTGGGATGGATCCTGGGGAGCCAGGGACGGTGCAGGGTGGGTCCTGGGGGCCAGGGTGGATGGGAGGGCACAGGACAGATCCCAGGGTGCCAGAGAGGATGTAGGATAGATCCTGAGGTGCTGGGGAGGACAGGAGGGTACAGGGTGAATCCTGGTGTGCCAGGGAGGATGGAAGGGTGCAGGACGGGTCCTAGGGAGAATGTGGGACAGATCCTGGGGTGCTGGGGAGGATGTGGGGGCCAGAGAGAATGGGAGGTGCAGGATGGGTCCTGAGGAGGATGCAGGATGGGTCCTGGGGTGCTGGGGAGGATATGAGGCGCAGGACAGATCCTGGGGTGCTGGGGGAGGCAGGGGATGGATCCTGGAGAATGTATGAGGGTGCACAATGAACCCTGGGGTGCTGGGGAGGTGGGAGGGTACAGGACAGATCCTGGGGTTCCATGGAGGACGTGGGACGGGTCCTGGCCATGACCCCCCCTCCCCTCCCTGCACAGGATCGCGAGCAGCAACAACCTGAACAAGTCAGAGAGTGACCAGGAGGACAACGATGACATCAACGACAACGA